ATTACTACCTTTATATTCACATGTCTATCCACACTTAAATTATGATGACGTATATATAATTTTAATTATAAAGTAATTAAAACTTTTTGTTATAAAACGAAAAAGAGAACTCTCCTGCAACCAGCCAGTCAGTCATTCACCCCTTTCCCCTCCCTACCCATTTTTTTAACAATGACAGAAATATTGCATAACATTAATTTAATGATGTCTATTTGTAGCTGCTTATTTTTTTATAATTTAACCGCTCTGTCTATCTGTCTGTATGATGAGTGTGATTATTAATAAACATTTAAATATAAAAAAAGAAAACACAACAAAAACATAACCGGCGACAGGAAAAAAACTCAACAGTAATGAAAATATGTTTAATATCCAAAACGACAACAACACTTTAAAATAATTAAGTTTGTCGGGGCAAAAATGTTTTATGTAAACAATAATGAATTTATCCTGTCAAGCTGAAGTTGTTGTTGTTTTTATTTTTGTTATTATTTTTATTAAACATAACAATTTGTATTTAATAATAATTATAATAAATTAAATATGTTTATTTGTTAACTTATATGTTAAATTGCTATAAAAAAAATGGTAATACATTTTAGTTTACAATTTTGAAAAAATTATATTTCTGATATAAAAATTATATAGTGTTTACATGACAAATAGTAAATGACCTCATAAAATGTGTTAAATGGGGAAGTAATAATGTAAAAAAAATTGACATAGATCAATAATGTTGAGGTTCCTCCTTAAAAGAAATTTTGTGAAAACCTTTTGATATTTCAGAGATTTCCGTTTACGAGTTCTACGACGACTAGATAGATGATGTTAGCAGATGCCACTGTGTATTTAAAATTTCTGCCCACAACAAACTTCCTGACAAACTAAATACACTCCCACATTTTATACGAAAATACATCAAAACGCTAACAAAATTGCCATGAATACACTTCAATTATTTCACATCCTCGAAGTTCTTCCGCATAGCACTCGCACACACACAATCCCATTATCCTATCATGATGTTTCATTTCCGATTATAAATTAGTCATGTTTTAGATGACAAACTATGAAAGTGTATGAAAACAAGGCCTTTGGGAATATTTGATCAGCTACAAATTTGTTTGGCATACATTGCATATCCTGAGACACAAGCACACACACAACTTCCCCTCCAACACACACGTGACATAGAAGTTTAATTATCTGCAAATTTTCTAAACAAACAAACAAACAACAACGACAATTTTCAGTTGGGATAATAAAAGTGGAGACACGAGAACAACAACAACAAATAAAAGTTTAATGACTTTTTGTCTCCAAAAATTGTCATCGTTTTTTTATTTGTTGTTGGTGGAGTGGGGCGGGGAGGCGAATGGAGATTAAATTTCGTGAGTAATAAAAATTATGTGGCAGTGAAATGTGAAGAAAACCCAGTGTAATGTCTGCTAATTAGATTAGTGATTGGATTATAAAAAACGAAAACAAAACCATTTGGAGGATAATAAAATTTATGGAAATGGTACAGAGAAGTCAGTCAGCAAATATTTAAATGTAAAAAAAAAACGAAATTAATTATTTTTATTTACTACATAAGGAAATAAAATGTTTATGTCATTAATAATTGGATTTTTTAAAGAATAATTTGTCAAAGCCCTACTAAAATCGGATTTCTTAAAGAAATCCAACCCTACCAAGGTTGGATTTTTTAACGAATATTTTTTTAATGCTCACAATGGTTGGGGTTTTCAAAGCATATTTTTTAAAGCCCTACTCGTCGGATTTTGATTTTTTAAAGAATACTTTTTTAAAGTCCTACCAAGTTCGAATTGTTTAAAGAATATTTTTCAAAACCCTATTGGATTTTTTAAAGCCCTACCAAGGTTGGATTTTTAAAAGATTTTTTTTTTCGAAGTTCTACCAAGCCGTGATTTTTTAAGAACATTTATTTCAAAGCCCTTTCAAGGTTGCATTTTTTAAAGAAAAATTTTAAATGCCCTACCAAGTTTGGATTTTTTAAAGAATATTTTTCAAGATCATACCAATGTTAGATTTTTTAAAGTATATTTTCTCAAAACCCTGCCAAGGTTTGATTTTTTTAAGAATAAAAATTTCCAAACCCTACCATGTTTGGACTTTTTTAAAGATTATTTTTTCAAAGCCCAACCATGATTTGATTTTTTAAAGAATAATTTTTTCAAAACCCTACCGATGTTGAATGAATACCAAGGTTGGATTTTTTAAAGAATATTTATTCAAAGACCCACCAAGGTTGGATTTTTTAAAGAATATTTTTTAAAAGTCCTAAATTACTTAATTAGCTGGCTTGTGGCATAAGCCGAGCTTAATACCAGTAAGGAAAGAAGTAAAGTCGGACTGGTCCGACTATATGATACCCTTCACCACTTTGGGTATATTCCGCATATGTATCTTAAAGTTGAAATTATATACGGAAGCTATGCTATATCGATATCTGAACCGATTTCAAGGAAACTTATCAGAGATTAATTTATATTAATTTCAGTACGTTGTGTAGGTGTATGTAAATCTGAACCGATTTTCACGAAACTTAGCACACATCATTCTAGATTTAATTCAGTACGCTATCCCAAAATCGAAAGATATATGGGGACTTTGGTGCACTATTTACATATAATTGGACGAAAATATATATGGGAGCTATATCTAAATCTGAACCGATTTGCACGAAACTTTGCACACATTATTCTAGACTTAATGTAGTACGATATGCCAAAATTCGTGCACATCGAAAGATTTGCAGGGACTTTGGTGCATCATTTACCTAAAATCGGGCGAAACTATATATGGGAGCTATATCTAAATCTGAACTGATTTCCACGAAGCTTAACACACGTTTTTCTAGACTTAATTCAGTACGCTGTACCAAATTTCGATCAAATCGAAAGATATATAGTGACTTTGGTGCACCATTTACAAAAATCGGGCGAAACTATATATGGGAGCTGTATCCAAATCTGAACCGATCTTCACGAAACTTAGCACACATCATTCTAAACTTAATTCAGTACGCTATGCCAAAATTAGTCTAGAAGGATGTATAGGGACCGTTTTCATTAAATCGGACGAAACTATATATGGGAGCTATATCTAAATCGGGACCGATTTTCCCCAATTTCAATAGGGTTCGTCCTTGGGCCAAATAAGTGACCTGTCCCAAATTTTATCCAATTCGGATCATAAATGCGACCTGTACTTTGTCTACAATTTAACATGGACAGACAGACGAACGGATGGACGGACATACATAAATCTACTCAGAAAATTTTCTGAAAATTTTTCTGTCAAACACTCCAAGAGCTGCACCATCTGCTGACGCAAGTACCCATGCTTCAGATTCATACAACAGCACTGGTAATATGAGCGTCTTGAAGAGAGTGAGTTTTTTCTGGCGAGAGGAGGCTTCGTTTTTAGGTTGCATAATCAGACCATAGTAGCATCTGTTGGCTAAAACTATTCTCCTCCGGATTTCAAAGCTGATGCTATTACTTTTGTTTACGGCGGTACCGAGGAGCATAAAATCGTTCACTACCACGAAGCTGTAGTTTTGAAGTTCCACAGTTGACCCGTGTATACTGGACGTCTTGCGCATCATACCGCCAGCTTGGCCTTTACTGCCAGTCCCACTTTGGTAGAATCTTTCTCAATTCCTTCAAAGGTTGCTGTTACCGCTCGCAATGGTGGACCCATTATATCGATGTCGTCGTCGTACAGCTGTTTGATGTACAGAGTGCCATTTCTGTAGATTTTTGCAAACTGTAACTTTGTCTGAATCCTCGTTCGGCATTGAAAGGCAGCGACACCAGCATCAGTCGAAAAATCGCATGCGCGTTTTTTGTTTTTTTTTTTTGGTGGGGGGTAATATAAAGACGGCTCCATAGTAAGTGCTGTGTGTGAGGGTTTCAGGTCGACCATGGCATAGCCACTTACCATGGCAAGGACTTGGCAACTAAGCCTGAAACACTTGTTGAGGCGCCCAGGTATCAACAAGGCTCCGTTCTACAGTCGGTACCCTGACTGCAAACCGTGGAACGCTGATAGGCACGTGGTCGCATGACACCCCAGCGTTGGGGGAAACACTTCAAGAAGGTAGTGTCCCAAACCTTTTTAAATGGATATAGGAGAGGGCGCCATTCTCGCCTCGTCAGCCCAGAGATCATAGGCACTCGGTCATTTCCTCCGAGACTCTCCCCCTGAGCCCGCTGATTGACCGCGACTGTTTATTGGTTATTCACAGTTGCCCAACGAATGGCGTTGGGCTTCCCACTATCCACATAGCACGATGGATAGCACTTTATATGCGATGGGAAAGAGACTTATTCCCCTATAGTTGGCACTACCAAGATTTCATTTGTTAAAGAGTATTGTTTAAAAAGCCCTACCAAGACTGGATTAAAAAAAATGTCAGAGTCCCTCTTATTCAATGAAGCTTTCCACTAGTTCCTAAGATCCTTCATTATGTCGGAGTATATTTGGAATATTGTATTTAATTTGAAGAACATATCTTAAAAGATAACTCCACATCTGCATCTTCTGGAAACAATGGAGTGAACTCCATATACGACGTCTTCAAAGCCTCCCTTACATTTAGCGCAATATTTTAGACATATCATGCCTCCCGTCGTCACATCGGCATTACATTAACAACTTCCATATAGATTTCCTCCAATACAAAATCATACATTCTGAAGTTCTTGGCGAAATTGGGAAATATAATTCCAGATAATACCGTTTGATGTCATCCACATTCTTTATAAGGGTTTCACATATTCGAGTAATCCGACTGGATTTTGTAAAAATGCCAACATTTGTAAATGAAAATTTTTTCAAAGATTATAACATTCGTGATTTTAAAAATAAATGTATTCCTGAATGGACTTAATGTCGGTTTCCTTACATATTTATATTTTTATCCAGAATTTTTAACATGTTCACATTTTCTCTCTCCTTTTTTCTTCCAGGGCTTTACCATCCTTAGCTGTTTTGTGATAAAACCTGAATCACCTTTGCGTAATCACAAGGGTGCCTTGGGCCGCTACTCATCGAGTGATAATCTGAAAAAGAAACAACTCAGTTCCAGTAAAACAAGTCTAGATGATAACTACTGTACAGGGACCATTAATACACCAATTAGTTGTAAGTACCTTCATCACTCTCTTCCCTTTTCCTATTCACTTTATTTTCTTCACACTGGCCTCTTAATAAAACCAATTAACATGAAACCTCTTTTTGCAACCTCTTCTTTTTCTCTATTTCGCACTTTCTCCGCCAGTTTATACAAATCATGAAAAAGAATCTGAACTTAGCAGTTCAGCACCACCATTGATGCACAAAACACCACCATCGCCGGCCAGACGACACCAGCTAGAGTTGAGTGCCGTGGTTGCATCGGCAGCTGGTGCTGCAGCATGTCAAATGCCGGGCTTAACCATAATCTCCACAGCTCCTCGATGTCAAATGTTGCCTTTGCAGGAACAACTCCAGCAACATCATCCTCACCACCATCAACACGTGGCAAGTGTGGAAACATTTATTGGCCCAACACCATCTCTGCCACCATCTTCAATGGCCATAACCCTTAACAATGGCAGTGCAACAGCTACGGCCTGTGGTGGTGCTGGTGGTACCTTGGAACGTAAGTCGGCCGGTAAACATATGATGACATGTTTGCAACAACAACAACAGCAGCATCATCAACATGGCAACAATTTACAATCCTCCATTGCAAGTGGCACGTCCTCGGCGACACTAACATCAATAACATCTCCACGAGCCATGAGATGTTGCAATCTACTTGGCGGAGAACAACGGATAACAGCGGCCGGAAATTGTATGCAACAACCACAACATCATATTGCCGTTATGCCACAAGTTGTTTCTGGCAGCTCAATGGGTTATTATGATGCCTATGGAGCTGGTATAACGTCAGCGACACCCGCATCATCAACATCGTCGTCGTCAGCGTTGACATCGTCTATGACGGGTAGCTTAAGTCGTCGTAGCCATTTGTCCGCAACACATGCTTCACATCAACAACAACTAGCATCTAGCGGCGATTATATTGGCGTAGAGCATTTGGATATATTGCAAAATGTTGCCGGCGGTAAGTCAAACTATGAACATAGGTACCATGTGGTAGCTCTCACTAAGAAAGTTAAGGTTTAAACTTGATTAACAGCATCTATCACATCGTCGGATGGATGGGTAGATTTTTGTAGAGAATTAATAATGAAGCGAAGGAAAAAACCAGAAAACTAAAAGAAAAAGGATGCAATTTAATAAATGATATTGGGAATGGTTAAAGTTTCTGTTAAACTAGGAAGGCCTACTTTCTGCTTCTGCTTCATGCTGCGACAAAGAAATGCTGCACGGTCTGACTTCCTACGTTTCACAGCCTGTTCTGGTTCAGTACTCTCTGTGTGAAAAGTTGAGATTCTATGCGGAATCCATGCTGATTTTGAGGTACTCAAAAACAAATAATCATCGATGAAAGGAGTAGCTACCCATTTGTCGTTGTTACTGGTGACAGAAATCACCTATATGTTTCACCTTTTCTTTAACTGACTACAATAGCAGGACTACTCTGCCTACTTTCTTGGCCTCAGGAACTGTTTTTGATTCCATCGATCATTTGATAGCTGGTGCTAAATACTCGACTCCGGGTTCATCCAGTTGCTTAAATATAACCAACCTCCAGAACATCTCTTATACGACATGAGACACTTTACTTCTACTCATCACTTCCGGGGTTTACGATTAACCTCTGCTGGGATCCTTGAGTGTTGCTTACTGTTGCTTACTTTCTAAACTTTTGGAACTATGTGGGTGGTTACGCCGAGTTGAGGATTGTTGTTGTACTCTGGACTCCACGTTTATCCATCTACTTAAGCATTATTCCGTTTGGGTCTAACGTTTTAGATTATTCAGCATTCTTGATAATGTCTGCAACATATGATTCCTCATCGGCTTTTTGGGGTTTTAAGCGACTTTGCACACTTGTAACGATAAGTTTCCTCCGGTTGCTGGGATATGCTTGCAGGTGTAGGGTTTGTCACAGAACATTTATATTAATGAGTTATAGATATGAAGTTCATTGTATTTCGCTTTATTCAGAAACTGATATACAAATTCCATATACTTAAATTACGGTAATTGAAGTCTGTGGCATCTGGCTCGGTTCTGCTACATCTGCGGTACGGCTCGAGGCTGGTTAGGACAATCCGATTGTTGGGATTCGGTACCTTAGGGATGCTTCATTTTAAAGCGAACCAATATTATGTGGTCCACAGTAAGCCCCTTGATTTTGCAATTGCGAAAGGGACTTTTACTTGGTCGCATTGTGGCCACTTAACCCACAGCCGACATATTTTGTCAGCCATCCTACATAGCCTACCTATAGACAAAAAAATTAAAAGACAACTTTAACTGTTCACCACATATCCCCATTTTATGCTCCGAAACATTGTATATACAAAACACATGTCCCTGCGACCTCCATTACTCATTTATTAAAAGAATTTTTATTTTAGAATTTCTAAAAAACTCCTACTTTGTAACATAATCACTCTCTGAGGATAAAATTTATGGTCCCGTTTTTATTCCGCAAACATAATCTTCTAAGCTTCTTATGACCAATAGCATAATATAAAAAAATAATAATTTACTTAAAATATTGTTCTTAGGCTAATAGCCTAAGGTTATAAACACCCACACATTTCCAAAAAAAAATTCCACAAGCATTTGTCACATACTTTCTTAAGAAATTCGTCAAACCTGCACCTCAGTAAAGGTTTTCCAGAATAACATGCCAACTTTTTATTTACTTCCTTTTGCCGGAACTGTGTTGACACTCTAAACTTAAGTCCTTAAATAATGTCCATAATGTCCCGTCCTCCCCATTCTCATAAAAGTAATTAGAGATTTTATAATGTCCTTACGACCAACAACAATAAAGGAAAACATTAACAACATTTTTGTTGTTGCTCTCGTTTTGTTCTCTACACAAAAATTCCGGAAATCATTCATTCATTCATGCCATAAAGCATTAGCTTCCACCACCGACCGGTGTAAATTCATGGCTATGGTGGTTTTTGCGGATGTTTGGTTACCGGTGGCCGGTTTTTCTTTTCATATGAATGAATGTAGTCCTTGTCCGTGTCCTGTGTTAGGTCAGGTTTGGGAACATTAAAATGGGTTGTTAAATTTTTGGAAGAGAAGAAATGGGGAATTCTATTTATTTATGTGGGTGTATGGAATGGATTTACTTTATGTTTTGTTTAAATTATAAATGCGGTAGGATAAGAAATTATATAGGGGAAAATAATAGTATGTCATTAACAATTCATCTGAATTCTTCTATGTTCAATAATAATCAGGCGAATTAGTAAAACCCTTACACAATTACAGTGTAAGTTGAGTAACCCATTCGTAGATTTATTTATAAGGAGAATTGATAATATCTGAAATAGATACCTTCATTATCAAATATTCCAGACAGCCGCGGTTCGCCTGTACAAAAAATACTAGTGAACGTCACAGCATGATCGTTCAAAATGAGAAGAAAACGCCTAGCCTTTTACTGTCTTTGATATTTAAATGTTAGTCGAATTTCAAGCACCCACAATATTTTTCATTGATTTGATTTGTGGAGAGATTTGAATATGGGATCTTAGACTCTTGAGACTAGCGTGGTACAGTTCACGAGCGAACTAGTTGAAATGAACGATTCACTTAAAAAAACGATTGAACAGGTCTTACAAAGTGGTTCTTTTTAGTTCAGTAACATAACGAACTAGAATATGGTATTGGATGTTTCGTTTACTCTTTAAATTTGATAGTGGAATCTGGTCTAAAATCCACCAGGGAACAATTCCGAAGGAGCGCCAATGATTCCAAGAACTGCTGAATAACCATAAAATGATGGGTCATTGTGCAAAGCTTCTGATATCAAATAGTGACCTCATCTTGGCTAGGTGTATACCACCTAGCCAAGATGAGGTCAGAATATCAATTAATCAGCTGAAGAATAATAAAGCAGCAGGTGCGATGTATTACGAGCTGAACTATTCAAGGCCGGTCAGGAGCATACGCCAACTGATTAGTACAATTTGGCTAGAGGAATGCATGCCCAATGATTGGAACCTCAGCATCCATGCACAAAAAAGGAGACAAACGATATGTGCCAACTATAGAAGAATAAGTCTCCTTTCCATTGCATATAAATTGCTATCCAGCGTGCTGTGTGAACGACATTATTGGACTATACAAATGCGGCTTCAGGCCTGGCAAATCCACCATTGACCAGATTTTCACTCTGCGCCTAATCCTGGAAAAGACCCACGAAAACACATCGACACATTCCACCATTTAGTCCGCTCAGAGGTATTAAAAGCCATGTCTGCGTTTGTCATTCCTGCAAAATGAATACGGATATACAGGTTAACTTTAACTGGTACAATATTATAGTCAGAAAGGACCTATCGGAGTCCTTCAATACCGGATGGGGATTCAGACAAGGTAACAGTTTGCCGTGCGACCTGTTCAACCTCCTGCTGGAAAAGGTCATACGAGATGCAAAAGTGAAAAAAATGACACTCTATAAACCAAACAGCATATTTTACTTACCTACGACAACGGCATCGACATAATGGGTCCACCATTGCGGGCGGTAACAGCCACTTTTGAACGAATTGTGAAGGAGTCAGCCAAAGTGGGACTGGCACTAAATGTCGAGAAGCCCAAGCTGATAGTATCAACGCATAAGACCAGTCCAGTAGACTTGAACCAACTGTGGAATTTGAGAACTACATCTTCGAGGTTGTCAAGGATTCTATATATCTCGGTACCGCCATAAATAACACTAATGACAATAGTTTTGAAATTCGCAGAAGAATAGTGTTGGCCAACAGATACTACTATAGTCTGAGTAAGCAACAACGAATGCGAGGGAAAGCTCAAGTGGAAGACAGCATTTCGAAACATGGGCTTTCAAATTAAAAAAAAACTGCGCACAAGACCGACGCGCCTGGAAATCTTTTTTTAAGCTCGTCTTATAGAACAAATGGGTATTCCCGAATTAAAGTTAAAAGAGAAACTCCATGTATGAGATGGTAGAGCGTATACTATTGCTTAAAGACTCAAATTTTCCACTATATCTCTGATCCGACCAGAGTTGTTATTACCTTAGGATGAGTGGGACATTCTTAAAGAAGCATCTGCTATTTTGTAGACCTTTTATGAAATTACCTTTTATGAAATGTGATGGTTATGTGCAATATTTTATCGAGCTTTATTGCAAGAAGTTTCTTCACAAACGAAAAAGTATCGGCAATGTTGACAATAATAGGAAGAGAGCTCCAAGCCCGTTTTGGAAATTTTAAAAGAAACTCCCTTTAAGAAGAGTGTACAATTCCGGATCCGAGATTTAAAAAAATGGGACTATAAACGCATATAGCGTATAATAACACATTAACGAACCTAGGAATCGAATATCATCGATAACACTGCCGAGCGATGAAGAGAACCACGAGCTGCAAAGACCACAGTTCCCGCATGCTGACAAAAAATTTGAATCTTTGTCCAGGAAACTGATCAGATTATGAACTATGTCAACAACACAGCGGCAGGCATCAGAGAATTGGACAAATATATTAATGAGGAGTACTTAGATCTGAGAAATGACCCATTAAAATGGTGGAGAGAGAATTTGTATCCTCGCGTATATTCCTATACTCTTAAACGTTTTTGTGTTGTAGTGACGTATGTACCCTGCGAACGAATGACAACCAATTACATAAACGAACTATTTTAACAAAAGATCAGAAGTGTAAGGTAGAATTTGGTCGTTCAGAAACGAACTGGTTCGATGTATATATTCCGCAAAAGGAACCATGGGTACTAGGTCCGGTTATTTCCTTCGTCTAGTTCATTTTCCTTCAGCTGTTTCCTTTTGCATTGCTCCACTTCACTGACGTGTACCAATGAACCATTGAACTAAAATTAACTATGGAAGGAAATGAATGGCCTAGTTCGTTTTGCGGAGCGAACTGCTTCAGAAACAAAATTGTCAAACTTTGTTAAATGAACTAAAATAGTACAAAACCAATAAAAAAAGGCCACACTGTCGCCTTCTTGTGTAAAAAACTACCTCCTGACCCACTTTTAGTCAAAAAAAACCTTACAGAGAATGAAACTTATGTTTTTCCATTCATTTCCGGTTTAATGTCCTGCATACCTTAAATCCAATCACGAGATTATTACATTCTCGTTGTTATTGTTTGTTTGCCTTTCAATCCATTATTTGAATCCTAAACGGGAAACTTAGCTAAAAGGTGATTGGTTTGGTTTGTCTGATATTAGTGGCAACAAATCTATGGTTTGTTTAGTAAAGCAATTCTGTTTGCTTTTAGCTTCGGAAGAATACAACAGAGAAGATTTTGTTGTTTAACACACAATGTAACATCAGAGAAAGGACGACTTGTGTTGTCAATGTTTTACAATTTATTTTCCGTCTGGGCGATATTACAAAGACTAACAGACAGATAGACAGAGGATAAGTGGTGATGGCGTAAAGCAACATAGCCATCATCAACATCATATTCGACATCGTCGTCATTGTGAACATCATTTTCATGAAGGTCCATAGACAACAATTTCCCTGGGTGTTAGACGACGATGATGGCAACATGACAACAATAGCGAACAGTGCGGACAATGATAAACCAGCTAAACACTTTGTTATCTGAAATGTTGCAATTTTCATTTTTATTCTCGCTGCTGTTTCCATTTCTCATTTTTTTGTGCTCTGCTGCTGTTGGTTGGGTAAACAATCGCCCCGGGGCTTATTGTTAAATATTTAATCATTCTTTTAGTGGATTTACTATTTCAAGATGTTAAAACTTAGCCACAATGGACCACAATGCACTTGTACTTATTTTGGGAACTGCTGTTGCGTCCACAAAGCTCATCTGGCGCCCAACCATTTTTTGCGCCATTGTTTATCATTGGCATTAAGCAATTTAAAATTCTAAATATGCTCTTCGTGAAAAAAAGAAAATTAAAATCCTTTTGTATTAGGACAATACCAAAATAAAGAGATAAATATTTATTCAAGCAATAGCCAAAAAGAAGAAAAAAATAATTGTCAAGTATATATTTATGAGCACCCTGAGGAGTGAGTTGTAATGCTATTTCTAATTGTATATATAAATTAAAAAAGGAGAAGTAGGTCGCACACTTAAATAGACCCGTTCCGGACCAATACTGCATTGCAGGCTAGATTAGCGAACCTATGGACCCCTGACATACATGCTAATGAAGATTTTCTTCAGGTTCATAGTTGAACCTTCTACTAATATCCTTCGCGGATTTGAAAAGATTTTACCAAATTTTCCGTGTAAGGTGTCTGGTCTATGGTTCTGTTTATGAACTTTCTAGCTTTACAGCTCATTGTTTGTTGTCCTCGATGAATTTTGGTGTTTTGGGAATACTTCCATGTTTTTTAGATTAAAAACAGTTGTTTCCGATGATACATCCGAGCAAACCTTAAATTCGGTTTTCGAGAATTTCCATATTTCGCCAAAAAATTTAGTTTTTAATCCAACCATATTCAAACCGAATTTCTCTCTTTAAGCTATACAATTAAATTATTTTTAATTTAAATTTGTATTTTGTCTCTTATTGTTACAGATACCATCATTGGCCTACGTTCCACAGGAAATACCATGGGAGTGTGTCCCACAGCAACATCATATCACCATCAGGCACAAATGTTGCCAACGGGTGCCACCATTGTATCCATAAGTGGCCTAACAGCAGCACCACCACCACCCTCTTCCATTGTGGCCATGGCCATACCATCAGCTCTGTCCTGCAATAGTTATACAACACCACCACCGACGATGACAACGGCAGCGGCAACAACACCAGCCATGGTTACCACAACATCGGTAACAACACAAACACCAAAAACTCAAAAACGTGTAACCATCATGGAACCCACCACACACACTTTTGATCCTCTGCTGCCAACAATGGTGGCGGTAATGCAGGGTAGTAGTACCACAAACACGGCAGCGGGACAGGTCCAGCAATCTAGTAGTGGTGTAACAAAAATTAATATAAATAATAGCAGTAGTGGTAATGTAAATATGGAGGATACCACGAAAACCACAACGAGAAGTGGAGGTGTGGCTGCTGAAGTTAAAGAGGATGCGACAGCCATGCTGGATCGCATTAGTCATGATTTAAATTATTTACTCAATGGCGCAGAAGATGATGATCAAATACCACCACCACCTAAACCACCAATGGGTTCAATACCCAATGAATCGACAACAGCCACAAATGCTGAGGTGATATTTAGTAAAAAGGATGTCCTGTAATGTAGGACACAATTTGAAGATCCATAATAAAAGGAGGAATCAACAAAAACAACAAACACAGGGTTAGTTAGGTTTTGTAGAAATACAACAAAAAAATAAAAATAAAATTTATTTAAGAAAACAGGTTGTTAAGTGTAAATACATATAATCTAAAAAAATACAGTGAAACTTAATACCAAGAAACACCGAGGGGTAACATATACATGTTTTCAAATATTTCTAATAAAAGTACTGGTAAATTTACCCCATTAAATGTTTTTACCACCTGATGCTTCTTTATAGGTTTCACTGTAATTCTAAAATAATTATTTAATAATATTGAATTTATCTAAAAAAAACCGGAAAAAAATCAATGCATAACGACTAACTCAATTAAGTTTCTTGAGGAATATCAAAAAGACATGATCATTACATAGACGAACATACATAAAAATAAAATATTATTTTTTTATTAACCACAATTATTCATAAATAATTAATATTCAATAAATAATTAATTAGTAAAATATAGGTAAGTTAAAAAATAAATTTAATTGAAAATTATAGAAAACAATTCCTGGAGGCAGCTACAAAAATGTAAATATTAGATTTCTCCTTAAATTTTTTATCTTAAAATTGATCACGATCAAATCAGACTATAATTACAATAATGAAACAATAATGTTACATTTCAGTAAAGCTATTTAATAAAAATTCTACAAATTATCTTTACGATCAATTGCTATTGTGAATGACAAACAACGAACCAACACACAGGTGTTTGTCTTTGCTGATTGTAGTCAGCAAACCAATCAATATTGCCAACATGTATACAACAGTAGCTTTGTCTGCCTACTTTTGCATTACAAATTCACAAAGTAACATCCTCATGAAATGTTATGATTTGTTTTGAATAGTTTTTTATGAATTTTAATTGGAAACCAGTAAGGAATGTTCAAAAGTCGGACGGGTCGACTATATGATAACCTCCACCACTTTGCGTGTGTACAAGAGATGCTCCTACGACTCTTATTAAAAAAGTACAACATACGTCCTTCACTAATAATATTGGACATATATGTACAATAACCTGCCGATAGAATAAACGTAGCATCGGGAGACCACTGACTTGAAGTCGGACAACACTAAATATGTTATCTATATAGGTATTTGAACCTATTTTAATCATTCTAAAGACTCACTAAGCCACCCGTAAAAAATGTCTTTGCCATCGGACGGTTATCTAAATCTGAACCAATTTCAACACAACTTAACAGATGTCTCTTAAGACTCAATACCAGAGCTCCGAAATGCTCGCTTGAGTAAAGAGTGAAACTTGCTCGAATTCGAGCGGGAGTACTCCTGCGAGTAGAAAATATAAATCGAGTATACTCCTTCTACCACTCAAATAAGAGCGCAAGAGTACGCTCGAAATCGAGCAGATTCCACTCTTGCCGAGTACTCCTTTTGGAATTTCCTTAAAAAAATGAAACTAAATAAAATATTTTGATTTTAAAGATGATGAGAATGAACTGCTGGCTGAGCTTTCTTGCAAAAAAGATTTTTATTTGTACCTTACATGGGTAAACATTTTTTAATACATTCAAAAACAAAATAACCAATGTTTTATTTTTGTTTTTATACATGATCGATCAACAACAAAAACTGTTTGCTACCACACACGCAAATCACAAAAAAATTATTTGTCCACTCGATTTCACTCTTAGAGTGAACTCTTACTCTATTTCGAGTATTTAGACTCTCACCCTTTTTCATTAACAAGGAGTACTCGCGAGCACTCCCAAACAAAATAAAAGAGTACTCTTCACTCGTACTCTTCACGTACTCCCACTCAGGAGTATTTTTCACTCGCGAGTAAAACAGACAAACTTTGGGAGTTTTGTCACCATTTACATAAACTCAGTCAAATAAAATAGATATATGTGACATATCTATAACTTAAAATCAATCTTGAGCGAGTTTTTACCCCATTTTTCTTTGGACCAAACCCGTTTCAGACAATTTTGAATCGATTTCCAAATATCCGTTTCAGACAATTTTGAATCGATTTCCAAATATCCAACTGTTTGGCCGGCAGGTACTCAAACCAAATACCGTTATCAAATTTTGGTATCTCCCCCACAAATGGTCAATATTTTAATAACTTATAAATTTAATTTTGAATAACCGATTTGATCAACATCAAATCCTAAACTTGTGTGTAATTTCGAAGATTTCCGCAACCAATATACTGAGGGTATATACCTGTCGCACCGACACCGAAGACACTTTTGTACTTGTTTTAGACTCAATTCAGATTGCATAGCGCCCAAATGGAAGGAAATATATGGGTTTTGGTGCACCACTCACATTAAACAAAAATATATGTGGGAGCTATATGTCTAAATCAGAACCAATTTTTACTAATTTCAGCAGGGTTCGTCCTTGGGCCACATAAGGAGCTGTACCATAAAATTAAAAAATTACCTATAATTGTAACATACTCTGCTGAAGGTAAGAAAATTTAGCTGGATTCGAAAAAATTAAAAAAAAATATTCCCGATGATTGTGCTTTTTGTGTCTTAGTTCTCTTTTGTAACACGAATATTAGATGCCCCAAAGTGTCCATCTCATATCTACCAAACAATCGATGTCTTCTACTGCGATTTCGGAGCTACTGGCTTCCAGAGATAACTGCTCCCTCCAATATAGATAGATAGAACATTGGCATTTTGCGCTTTTTGTGTACAATATTAATTCAGTCTACGTGTGATTTACTCCAAGAATGCAATAGTACTAATCCAACCAAATAGATAGACTAAAGGTTGGGATTTTACGTTTCTTAGTGAAAAATACTATTTCTTTCTTGGAATTTACTCCATAATCATTGTGTTGAACTCACTCTGACAAGAACGCCAGTGCCCCTAGTGTAATTTAGGATATTGTTGGTAGAAATTTACCACTTATCAGACTTTGCATAAATTTGAATTGTCACCAGAGATCAAAGCAGTGAAGAAAGCAAACCACACTGCAATATATATCTATGGACTTTATCCCATACCGATTCCATACATTGTTAAGAATAACTCCACATATATAGGAGGTATACTCACAACAAATTTCAGCTTTTCGAGTTCTTCTCAATCTATTTGCAACATAGTGGATTTTATAATTTAACCATCTATCAGATATTCATCGATACTCAGACTCTACAACCCGGAAAGCAAAGGCGTCGATGAGTTCGCCCGACACGAACATTTTATACCCTCCACCACGACTTCGACATTAAAAATAACTAAAAGAGATCGGAGCTTCAGGGGAAAACGAAATACGGACACTCCGTTTGGACTAGGACCTCGAAAATGACGGATGACGCTTGAAAATTATATTTGAAATCCTAAAAATACCCTATTGTGTGGTTACCATTATATGGGGGCTCTACAATTTCCAATCTCCCCAAAATACCGAAATTTTGGGAGGTGTCGTTATATGCAGGCTACTTTAAAAAGTTAACCAATATTAACACAAGATATGCGGAGAGAGCCAATTAGACTCATTTCAAATTGATAACTATTTATATTTTAAATATTATATAAAGTACATTCCCTTAACCGCAGACCCTCTCATTTCGCACTATTGAAGGTTGTTTTTACATTTTAAAGGTTGTGAGCCAATTTTTTTAACTTTATGCGATTAACTGTTAAACCATTATTGAAATTTATTGATCCTATCAGGTCTTGCCAACATTGAGTAGCACATAGTCTACGCAACTATGAAGTAAAATTTGAGAAAAACTCTAGAAGTTGACATTTTCGAAATGGATCTAGATTTAACACCTTTAAAGATTTAATCCCTTTGTGGAGTTATCAGAAGTAGATGATCATTTTCGAATATGATCTACATCTGGTAAAATTATTACTTTGTGCAAAGTTGGGGTCAAATCGGATACTCAATAAGTTCGGTATTAGATTTACACATGTTCAAAAATGTTAATTCTTTATGGGGGACGTACTACATGGAGTGGGATAATAAATCCCATTTTAATATTCAGAGAATGTTTGACAAAGATAGTACAATGTGCAGAGTTTTTGTTCGCATAATAAGATATTTACACATATTCTGGATCTAAATACCCTCAACATTCTATTTATTTGTATAATTATTACCAATTGCCAGGTAAACAGACAAAGCTATGCTGAATACATTAACATTGCGCCTTAAGTTATGCAATGGTTTTTAAATTTAACCCAACGCATTCATCTACTTACTACTATTGGTCTGTTTCCGTACTGCAAGAATCTACTAATTTTTACTATATTTTTCGATATCATAAAGGAAAAAGTTGTTATCGTAGTAATATTTTTTACATTCTTGTTTGGCAAATTTCAAACTATTTCTAAATATATATATATTATTTATTGATATTTAAAAACACATTTTTTTCTAATAGAATCATTGTTTCCTTATTGCAAAGCAATATTAAACAAATTATATTTGATTCAAAAAAAAAGAAAAAAACAATATTGTATCCCAATTATTTTATTTAAAGTCTGGCTGATCGCAATCCCTTTTTACTGCTAAACTATGTAGATGTGTAAGTGTAAATATTTACGGACAAACAAATGTGTGTGTTATCAATCAAACAGTAAAATCAAATATGAATTAAAAAAACAGATGATATATAATATTATTAAAAATAATTCATGTAAATAATATTTATATAATAATAAACAAAAGAGAACAACAAAAAACAACAACTAAAGCAAACATAATCCAACAGAAGAATTTATTTTCAAAAAAAATGAAAGAAAAAAACAAACAACATAAAATGTATAGTTTAACAAAGATTAAATTAATTTAGCATTAACAAAATATTATAAATATAAAAAAACGAAACAACTCATGTACATATTATAAAAAACAAAATATATTAAAATAATAAATTATACTTCCAAGGATAATATAAATAATAAGATAATAGTTATTATTCATTAAATTAATTACAAATTCATTACTACCCTAAAACAGAAAAACAATAATTTTTAAATTGTAAATTACAACAGAAAATCAACAGATATAAAAACCACACTTGTAAACTAATAATTCAATAAAAATAAAATTTAACCCTTTTTTGAAATATGTATGTATTTTAAACACAACAGAACTACTATATTATAAACTAAATAAAAATTAAAAAAAAAACAACAACAAACAAAAATAACTTAACATAAAAAATTAAATAAAATAAAACTAATTTTCAACATCTTTGTTACAAAAAAAGTATATATTTTAAATGCATTTTTTATTTCTTAAAATAAAACGATATGGCATCGAAATACAAAAAAACTGGTAAGTTATGCAAATACAATTTTGTTAATTAAATATTTAGCAGTTACATATTGAGAGGGAGGGAATCATTCCCAATTTTTTCTTCTTTACATCTAATCCTAAATGTTGTTCAATATTTTTTGTGGTTTTATTAAAATTTCACCACATGTCCCATGAAATATGTGGCATCTCTGTTTCGAATGGCAAAAAAGAATGGATGATCCGCCCTAAAGAATTTCTGCCGTGTATCGATGGAGTTGCTGATGACAATTGGTTTGGTAGCTGAAAAAATAACAAATTTAAAATTAGATATTTGTATATAGGATTTTCACATTATTGGAACAGAAACCTCGGTGGGGTAAGTCAAGACGGGGTCGATATGTGATACCTTTGGACCACATTTCTTGGAAACTACTGACGATCTAAAAATTCTACCATTGTGTATGAAGATTCTCACCCCTGAATAATGAGCGGGATCATAATAATAGGGATATACCAAGAGGTTGTATATCCCTTTTATTCGTATTAATCGGCCTAACTTTAGGTCTTTGTTGCAACATTTACTTAACCGATTTAAACGAAACGTTACGCACGTTAGGCTATACTAACTTCGGTACGTTGTGCAAAATTTCGTACCAATTGGCCAACCTTTGGGTCTTTGGTGCAGCATTTACTAAAAATCGGACGAAAATATGTATATATGGCAGCTATATGTAAATCTGAACCGATTTCGTCGAAACTTTAGGCTATACTAACTTCAGTACGTTGTACAATATTTCGTATTAATCTTACTAACTTTTGGTCTTTGGTGCACGATTAACCTAAAATAGGATTTCATCCAAATCAGATTATATATGCGACCTGTACTTTGTTTACAATTTGACATCAACAGGCGGACAGACGGGCATAAATCGACTCAGAAAGTGATCCTATGCATATTCTCAAATGTAACCTCGTTTCCTTTTGCCTGTTACAAACATATCCACAAAGAGAAAATACATGCACCGAATTTCAGCGAATTCGATTAAAAACGCGCTCAAGGACCACAAAATACCGAACATTGAGCCCAGATTGACGAATACTTCGTTTCATTGAAATATTCCAAGGAGGAGTGTATGCAATGATAAGATTTCAAATGGAGTACTGACCGGAGTTTGCCCAAAACCAAATAATAACTGGAGCAGCGGACATAGAGGAATTGAGAAATATGTAGAGCATGTGTCTAGTATCGTGCTGCCAATTCAGGTGCAATACGAATTAAGGCGTCATCCTAATATTGAAAATCGTGCTGTCAAATCGGGTGCAATACAAATTGGGCGCCATCCTGATCTTAGTTGGTTTAAACCTCTCGTTTATCTAAACTGTTTTGGGCAAGTCCTCTGTTTATATGAGGCAGAAGTAGTGCCTCAAGCGTCTTTGCGTTATTGTTTGTATCGGGGTTCTCTATGAATTGCCCGTTAAAATAACGAAAGCACCTCTTCGGATCTGCCACCTTTACATCGCTAAATACGACAGCTGTTCTGTCATCCTTCCTTCCAGAATTTAAGAGTGAATTAGCCGTTGGCCACAATTTACTTTATCGGGGTGCTCTATAAAATTCCCGTTAAAATAACAACAGCATCTCTGCGGATCTGCCACCGTTACATCGCTAAATGCGACATCTGTTCTGTCATCCTTCCTTCCATAATTCGAGAGTGAATTAGCCGTTGGCCACAATTTACTTCTTACGGCTCCAATGTTGCAAAGGTATATCGGTCGGCTGTAGCCCGAAAATTCTTCTGGGCTACCTGAAGATCTTAGGAAATGGACAACTTTCTGAAGAGGCGATTGGTTAAATATCTGAAACATTGATCATTCAGCTTTGCCAATGTTCAGCAAAGTATGACGTTCAGTGGTCATGAAATCGAGTGGTCCATTAACGGATACAATGATGAAAAGCTTGTATGATCCAAAGGAAATGCAAGGTTGCCAGATTACGTCATTTACGTCACATTGAAGATGTCTGACGAACTGCGGCAATATACTCTAATCCACGTGGCTCATCCTCATTCATTATACAATACGTGGATTTTTTACTTTCTCGGCCAGAGCTGTACCTCTCTGATCATTACCTTTGACGGAATGGCAGGGCTTATCATGCTATTGAAATACCTCATGTCTTTTGAAATCCCTTAGCGCCAATCGGTTATTACATTTCACAAGGGAGCTTTTATGAGGCAAATAACGGCTAAGAACCGCATTATTGAATATATATTAATTCTGTCATTCTTTTTCACGAAGTAGTCGAATACCCAAGATAAAATTATGCTGTCTTTGAAATCGCAAAAGAGATCGCAATATTTATATTACTCCAAGGATGTTGGGTATTGAAAATGGAATATATGAATTGGAATATTTTATATAGTATTTCGGTATTTTGAAGGCTCTAGCCAAGTTCTTGATAAGCGAAAAACATCTTCGGAGAGATTTTTCAAAATAGGACCAAGTTTTTACATAGCACCCATATAAAGGTTCGGTCTAGTTTCGGTGTGTAAATGGTCCTGCTCAATTTTTTCCAAAATAAATGTAATTTGGTGCATTCGGTTGAGGTTTAGCACGAAAATCCTTAAAAACTACTATTTGGCCTAGCACTTTGAAATTTGGTATTTCATCACATCCAAAGCCGTTTTTTGTTTCAAACTACCTAATTTGAAGTCAAATATATTAAAATAATAGGGGTTTCCTTACCTTCTACATTCGATGATTCTGAACCAGATTCATGTACATCCAAGCAAACTTTATGCAGAATATCAGCAATGGGAAGGGATGAAGAGGCTGACTGTGGAGACAAGAGATTCTTGAAATTTGAGTCTTCACCAAAAAGCAAAGAAAAGCCCAACTGAAAAAAAATACAAAAAATAAATCTCCAAATATTTCAAAAAATTCTCGTCCATCACCACCACCTACCTTTTCCAATACCGCCTTCAGTGAACATTCAAAATCAATTTGAAATTTCGGCAACAGCAACTGAACACTTTCCATTTGCATTTGTTCCGCAATTGTCGATAGATTAACCTGTTTCAATTTCGTTTCCAATTCCGCCAGGCCATCACGTTTATTGGGTAAAATTATTAGCATTGAAATTTCATCGTCATGTTCGTAGGGCAATTCAATGGCACGGGCGTCCATTTCCTTTAATTCCACAAATTTTACAAACATTTCGTTGTCCAACATCATGGGTATCGATTTCACGCAATCACTGCTTACATGGAAATCATACAAACCTGAACGATACGCACTGAAGGGCAAAAACCATTTGTTGCGGAAATTTGCTGCCATCAAAAGTAAAGCTTTACAATTTTCCTGGAAAATTTTGAAATTTATGGCAGATTTTTTTAAATTTTCTTGCAGACAATTTTTTAGCAAATCTTCAATATTTTTTGTGTGTTGCAAATTTTGCTTCTCCGTTTGTGTTAGGAAATATTTATAGGCAATTTTTTGAAATTCCATATCCAAATCATGTTGTTCATCGACAAATATTTTCGAACAAATTTCCAGTTGAGTATCGGGTGAATTTTGTGTTATGGCAGCGAGGTTACCAGCAAAATAGCTAGCCATTTTGGCATTGTTGGGAAAACGTTGTATATGTAATTTGGCTTTAAGTTCTTCGGCTGTTTTGCCATCCGAACCTAAATAGAGTAGAGCGAGTAGGGCTTCAACTAGGAATGGTGAGATTATTAGGTTTTTGTCATTTCCATCTGTTGTTCCATCGGAATTGAGAAGATTTGTAAATATATCCAAACCAAAATTGGTTTCGAAATTATTGTTATTGTTGGCGGGATCCATGGTCTCTGTGAGAATACTTTTTTGGTAGCTAAAAATAAATAAAAGAATAATTAAAATGATGGCACTTTGCACAATAAAAATATAATTTTTTAATATAAAAAGGTTCAGAACATAGTATTGTAATATCATTACAATGTCCAAGATAAAAAATCCTACAAAAAACCGAAAATGTGGAGGGCACCTTTAAGTACGAGCTATATCAAAACATCAACTCAACCCAAACATTTCTACTATATATATTTTACTGAAAAAAATGGTGCGGGATCTTAATGTGGGGCCTATGCCAACTGAGAGCATCATATCGACATTTTTTTGCAAGAAACTACGGCTTATAAAATACCTATAATAGGGTGATACCGTTATATAAGAACTATACCGAGCCGGGGACCGATATTGATAATTTGTAGGAAATATTGACTCCGGGCTGATTTCATAAAGTAGTATGCAAGTATTAAAAAACAGATGATACGTGGACTAACTCTGGCAACACTGGACTTTTTATCATCTAAAAACAACAGATCAGTAGATACTGGCTTATATCGGACATATTGAGAGAAATACACACACACAATTTCACCTGGACTGCGTTCCTAGATATAGAAGGAGCCTTCAACAACATGTAACTGGAATAAATCCATTAATTAGATTAATGGAATGTTGAAAAGCAGAATCAAAAATTCCTTCATTGCGTAGAGTTCCATACTGAAATCTGTGAACCGAGGGACACCACTGGGAAGGGTACTCTTTCCCAAATTGTGAGGTTGAGATTCTTTTAATCAGGGGCAAATTTCTTTCACCCAATTCCGACATAATGCAGGGTGATTTAACTCAAGCAAACTGGGACCAATGGCCTTGGAATCTAACCCACAAAGTTAGAAATGTTACTCTTCACTAGAACACGTCTGATCTCAAAAAACGCATTCTAACCTTGAATGAAGCGACCTTGAATCTCTAATTTGAAGCCAAATACCTGAAACATTCCAGTACATAGTACTGTCTTACTTATGCAAGAACTTTATAGGATTGAGACTTTTTGCGTTTTTTTTTTTTTTTTTTTGATACACCAAGACTGTTGATCAAACTAATCAGCATGCCACGATCCACATCGCTTCTTATAACTGGGGCTCTCATAAGTATACCTTTTGGTTTGGTTCCAGGCCACAAGGTGTAAAACTCATACTAGTATCCTTAATACCATAGACAGACGACAACCTTACTTTGCATTAAAAATTTCTTAATTTGAATTAATATTTATTCCTGACAGACGAGAGTTTCAGCCAAGGTACCTTGGTTTCTGCATTTACGAAACAGTTTTTTGCTTCAAAACAATTGTTCGTCTGTGTGTAGGAAGAAAATTGTTTACATTTTTTTCGATATTTTTCGGGAATACATCTTTAGGAAATAGATACATGACATAAAGGAGGAATAGCAACAATGATCTTAGCAAAACAGCTCCCACTTTAAAAAATGGTTGACAATTTGCCTTCATTTCTTATTTTTATTTTCATAAATATAAATAAATTTGACAATATATTTTTAATTGCCATATTGAAATTGCCTAATTCACTATAAATTCAGTCTGATTTTGTGCATTACAGCCTTACCTAAAATTCAACTAGCTCGTTCGACGTTTTTCACCACAAAAGTAGAACACATGTATTTATATGAATGTTACCGAAATACGTCGAACGTACAAAATTTTAAGTTGAACAATTTCAACTTTGACAGAACGTATTTTACATTTTTTCCATTGTTGAAAATAAAAACAAAACATTCAGGAAATTTGGAATGGAAACTAAAAATTGTGGATTAATTTAAATAATTTTCAATTTTGTTTTGCGGTTTGTATTATTTGCTTAAAGATAGGGATTCGACTTATTTGGGTAAAACGGCCGTACACAACATTTTGCCATAGTGAGGAAGTTGAATATTTGTGTACGCCCCGTCGGATTTTAGGTAACATTGTTAACAACACATAAAGGGCCCCATACACTATACATCATGCCAAGGTATATTAATGAGGTAACAGTATCAAGACAGCTGGTGGTAATATTATATGTCACAACATTTTTTTTCTTGAATTCGCCGAAAAAAAAAAAATAAAATTAAAAATGAAAATTAAAGAAGACAATTTCTGAAGAAACAAAACATACCTTCACATGAACTTCTTTAGGAAGATCTTTTACTACTACACGAGAAGAGCATTTTGGATTTTTATAAAAATCTATTATCTTGGGACTTTCTATAATAATTTGATGGCGCATTTCACGTAAAAAATGCCCTCATTATATACCGTATAATAAAACGTATGTATATCAATAATCTAAGGGCGAAGCCTTAATTTTCGAATGAGACCTTCAGAATAGACAATTCATATGATAAGGATATTGATCTAAGAAACCAGAACTGCATCCTGGAGTTTTGTTGTTAAATATTGTTAGAATTCAGTTTCTTCAATTTTGGCATTTTGGTTTCTTATTGAATGCAAATTTCCTTGCAAAACTTTCTATGTTCGCTTCCATATAATGATACGTCCCAATTTCAATAATGTGGTTGTAATTTCGAACCTTAGATTTCCACATATGTTGAGTTTGGTATGCTGAGGTGTTACTACCACAGAAAACATATTCAAAATGGGTCCACGTCTTTGTTTCTCCAAAAATGTATTCGTTGTCATCAGCTCCTTAACATTAACGAATCATTTTTATCATTTATGCTTCATACATTTACGATTTGCAAAAAAACACACAAATTTAAAAAATTAAATAAAACTTCACAAATGCTTTGTTCTGATTGGTTGAAAAATAGAAGGCGAATTCATTTTTATCGCTTATATCAAGGCACACACAATGCATGAAGAAAATCAAAATAGTTTTGATTTTGAAAATGAAACCCTTTCAATCTGGTGAATTTTATTCATTTTCAAAGTTGACAGTAAATAATTTTGAGTATACAAATAATAAAATTGTGACGAAATAAAAAAGAACTGAATTTACGATTTAAAATGTGATTTTTGGACAAAAATCGATTTTTTGGAATAGTGATTGAAGAGTTTGCCATACACTAGTCAATCTCACATATACAAAAAGGCGTTCATCGGCATGATGTATAGTGTATGGGGCCCTTAAAAATGAGAATAATGTTCAAGGTAATTTGAATTAAGGCTGTTAATGCAAATTAAGACTGTCGTCTGTCTAGTCTATAACATAATAAGAAATTGTCACTTTATCGATAGTGATATTCACGTTAGTAACTACTCACAACTAAATGCACCAAACACAGAAAAATAATTTTTTTACTGCGAAATGTCACCTATCCAAGGAGCATAAATCTGAAATAGTTTGATCGATACTTTACGAGAAATCTATCATTGCAGACATCGGCCAAAAATAATAGATTTCTTTTTCCCAACCTAATATATCAAATTACTCAGATCGCGGCTACAATAATCTTATAATCGGTTATTAGAAATGCCTGTTTGCGCCTTAAAACTGGAAATAACATTAAAAAAAAACTATTCAAATCGAGCTTCAAAATGCTCCCATATAAGGGTACCCCCCAATTTCGGGTTCTTGAGCGCGTTTTTCAACTGAGTTCGCTGAAATTTCGAACTTTGTGTTCTTATTCGGTACCAAATGTCCCCACTAAAAATTATAAATAAAGGTCCACTATTTCTGGCAGCCCCCATATAACTGTAACCCCGATTTGCAGTATTTTGGGAGTTTTGAGCGTATAGTTCGACTGAATTTTCTGTAATTTAGGACTTTGTGTTATTATTGGGTAGCAAATCTCTCCACAAAAAATATAAATATAGGTCCACTATAAATATAGGTTTTTTGTAGTTGTATATGATAACAAAACTCCCCCACCCCCAAAAAAATTAATATTCGCGCCCTTTTAGGGGTAGTTCCCATATGGGGGTTATATGGAGACTACCCCTAAAAGTGTTTATATTCAAATAGGTAGCTGATTAGTTCCACGTATTGGGGTTGTCCCCATATAGGCGTAGCTACCATCGTATGGGGCATATTCGTTATTCGAAGTACTCAGTTTTTACTCTACAAAGTATGGAATTCTAAGACGATTTAGCCGTCTGTTGTAATCATTCTGCCTTCTAAGGATATGATGATAAAACTCGGTGATAGAAATTTGAGATTTTCAGATTTTAGGGTAAATCCCCATTAAAAATTCCCAAAAAAAACCGTTGCCATAACCTTACAAGCCGATTGAATTGCCTTCTTTGGGTTGTTTGGATTGTTATTTTGTCTCTCTGTAGTTCCTCATGCAAAATTAAATGGACTCAATCATTTGAGATACCCATGATATTAGCAATTTCACGTATTTTTATTGGTCCGTCCCCCTCTTTCTCGATTTTTAATTTTCAAGATTTTCAATGGGCGGTAAATCAATACCAAAGCTTGTTAAGGTTTGTAACTTTGCAGATATATAATTGAAGTTTATAAGGAAAAGAAAAATAATTTACACATTTTTTGTTGTTGTTTTATGGGATTAAAGAAAAGTCCTTATTTTTGATGGCATGGAGTTATCATGCCACTGGAACAACGGAATCCAAAAATTCCAACGGTGTTAGAAAGGGAATATGTCTGGCTATCGTATGAACTAGGATTATTGACTTCGCTCAAAAATCAACAAATTGGCGGACCTTTGAAACAATATTTTTGGAAAATTGCCTATTTTTTACCCAAACCAAACAAAACAGTTTAAAAAAAGAAAGATCTTGACCGATTGGATTTATCCTAGTTCATACGATAGCTATATACTCACAGAGAAACGTCCCAAAATTTGGAATCGATCAGATTATTCATTTTTGAGTTATCGTGCCCGCCATTTGAAAAAAAACGCCGTTTGGAAAAAAATGCGTTTAAAGTTTGAGAAGCCCTCTTGTCGTCACTTGATGCTAGCACAATAAATCGGATATATCTTCAAGAGTTGTTGAGATTTTCACTTTAAATTTCATAGGGACATTATTGAATTAGTGT